CTATAATAGATTTATATTCGTAATTTAGTTTGTTTTGTTGTATGTTTATCCCATAAATAGATTATTCTTGATTATTTTTTACTTCTTCTCCCAAATATTTCATATTCTGAAAAGACAATTTAATTTTTCCTCTTCCGAACTCTAAACTTGAATCTGTATTAATTTACTCTCACCCCATATCAAATATGTTTTTCCGTTTTAATTTTAGTTCGCATTTCTTGTATTGTTCTAATAAATTTGTAAAATAAGTAGCAGATCAGACAGTATAATAATATAATGATTAATAGTAATAAAGTCAATTAATCTATTATTATTATTATTATTATTATTAGTGGTGGTGGTGGTGGTGGTATCAATCAAAATTAACTCCCAAGCATTAACGTATTTATTAGCCACTGTATGGTTATTTATAATATGCCGCAGAAGTAAAACATCTTTATTTCAATTTTTCACTATCAATTTTTGTGGCCAGCAGACAGGTAAATTCACAATATTTTTGATATTTGATTTGAGACATATGAGTTATTTAATTAGCGCGTGGACAGCCATAAGAAATGAATGCCAATTGGGAGAGGCGTAAAAATACGACGAGAGAATTTTCGTTTTAGTCGTTTAGAATAGGGAATTGTCAATTTCGAAATGTAAGGTTGAAGAAATCTGTTGGATTTTGGGATAAAAGCGAGAGTATGTGAGAGGAAAATGTAGATTGGGGTAATGCCGAGTTCACCATGTCCTAATTTTCACAATGCTAATGTAATCATTTCAATTCTTAGGCATCCACCGACTTAAGATGATTCAAGTCACGAATCCTGGCAAACCTAATTAGTGATTGAGAAATTTGTCTTTCCACTGGAGATGAAAAAGAGAGTAGTACATGGGGAAAATAGAGGAAGATGTGTATTATCTGCCAAGAAAAGGTCAATGTTGAATGAATGGAAAATCTTGGCTTTTTGCTACATCTGTGATGCCAAACGTTTTCAGATTTTAATGAGCTTCCTTAACTCGTTTTGGGAAATAAAACATACGAAATAAACGTAAATATGTTCATTTTTACACGTTATAGAAATAAGCTATTCCTTCGACCGCCCAGGGCCGCCGATTGGTGTTAATCCCCAGACGGTAGTTGTCCCTCCCTCCATGTTCCACCGACAATGTATGTGAAGAGAAAAATACAAATAATACTTTTTTTTCAATTTTATGTATTAAACTGTCGTCAAAATTTTATCACATTTATTTTATGTAACTTCAGCAGTTCATTTTTGCAACACAAAAACAATCCATCGTAACAGACTAAAACGCAAATTACCAAAACAATTCTTCGACCCTACATAACCTCCTTTCGAATCATATTGACTACATGAAATAGTTTTCTTCTTGATGCGAGAGCTGCATTTTTATAGCTCTCATTTTCCGTATTTCTTATTCGGCTTGGTTATCTCCTGCTGTCAAGGGACTAACTGGCCAAAGACATGTAATTATTCAATAAAAAAACGCAAAATCCGCGCTGCGTATTTTTTATATAAATTCATTAAGCAATTTTTGCAAATCGATTTTGTCGGCCATGTCGCTATGAACATGTAAAATCGCAATACTCTTGAGCCTATCTCCAACATACGTATGCTCGTAGTTGATCGCATATACGTTTGGAGTCGACGCAATACCGAGAAATTTCGTTCATTTCTGCAATTTGGCATTTATGGAATATTTCTTTCACCCAAAATTCCGAGTGGGTATTTTACCCACTAGGAATTTTTCGCGTGGCTATAGCTTCCCACCATATCCACATTATCCGCCGAGGCTGCGACCGCCTATCTCCCAGGAACGAGAGAGAATAAATTTCGCAAATATGAAAGAACGTGATATTACTAGATACCACACATCACACGTACACTGTGGTTCAATACAAACCGAGCTAAATGACCCGAGCTGACCCTGCACCCCATAGCGCTGTTATCAGTCTTCGAGGTCAGTGGATTGTGGGCCAAGATTAACGATTCAGCAAAAGAAGCGCGTGGTCATTCATGGGAGAGGCGCGTTGATCTGCGTGGAAACCTTTACTGCTAGGATTCTATACAAATACTTTGTTGAGTAGTTGAGATCTGTATTAATTTTGTTTATACTTATTTTGATATTAATAGTACGTGTAAAATCATGACTAATAGGGTTAACAAGCTTCTATTGTTTTGAGTTCTTGGCTAGTTATTAAATGTAATAAGTTTTACTTCATTTACCTACGTAAATACCGACTAATATAGTACGTAGTCAATGTTGCAGAAAATCGATTTTGAAATTTCAATGTGAATACACGTTTTGCAGTCCCCTAGTACTGAAAATGTTTTTTTTATTTTTATTATTATTAATTTTTTTTTTTTAAACATCCGTCAGTCTGCCTGACACTAGTGTCTATTTGGAGTTTTTTTTCAAAATGAATATTCCACGTCTGGAGAGGGCGGCGATTGGTGTTAAGTGAAAAATTACTGCGTTAAGTGACAGTTGACCGCGGGGGGGGGGGGTATTCACTTACTCCCTCCATCCCTACCAGAAATGTATATTGAAGAAAAAATACAAATCAGTTTTTTTTCAAATTGTAATGATTACTTTATATTGAATAAAATTATCATCCACTTTATATTATATCATATCAGCAGTTCATTTTTGCAATGCAAAAGCAGCGCTGTGCTTTGCATTTTTACGTTCTTGCGCTTGAGAAGCAACCTCTTAAGAAGAGATAGTTATGTAATTCTGCCCGAAAAAACAGCGAATTTTCGACAGAAAACTCTTCTTATAGTGCCCAGGTATCGAAAAAGTGGATAAACTTGGAACAAAAAATCATCAAACACTTGGTGTTGCCATAATACATGTTTTGTGGATCCTTGATAACGAAAAGTCGATGGACGTTCGTCCGGCTGTAAACAACGGTAACGGCTACGAGTAAATTGCTCAGCTGATTTCTTCAGAATTGATGTTCCCAATGGATCTGGCTGATGCCGCGGCCCCTTAAATTTGAAACATATATTAATTTTGGGGGGTACTTACATGAAGCTCTTGGGACATATTCCATATGTTTAAAAAGTGGCGCCATCGATTTTGATAAAATTTTGTTGTTGGGCATTTAAGAGAAAGGCACAGGTCTCATTTTGGTTCAAAATTCTAATTTTTCAACTATTGAAAAAATTCAATGTTCTCTCGGCGTCTTCCTACAAGTTCAATTATGAAGTCAATTTTTGTTCTTAATGAAATCAAAAACAGATTTTCAAATAAGGTCATGTTCGATTTTCGAAAATATTAGTATATTTGGAGTAATTGGGCGTCAAAGTTAGTCGCCCGCTCTGAAATTCCTGCGCTTCTTGATCGTAATTTTAGATGTGTTTTGAGGTAGTTGGATGCTACGAAAGTTACAATGTATATTATTTTTTTGAAAATATTTCTTTGTTCGTTTCTTACATTGGAGCTTTTGTCATACGTTCTACTTCAGTTATATAGGCACTGCCTGTTACGCCTCCTTTCCCATCTGGTCACCCATTCTCTTCTTCGGGTGGCGAGGATTTCTTCATCGTTGTGGGTGGTATTGCAGAATTCTTGTCGGCAGGCGGTGTAACCTATGCTACTTTTATAAGTGTATTTTACTCTATTCTTACAATAAATGTAAAGAAAATAATTGGAGCTATTTATGAGAAAATTTCGAAAATTTCCCAGCCTTCATGATAAGTACCTCCAAATTTTAATGAATGTTTTTCAAAATCTCAAAAGCTTCGACTCGCACCAGACAGCTAGGAGTTTCATTTTGGAAAAAAATATTTTGAGTGGATAAGATGCTAGTGGTTTTCACAGACGGCGGTTGGGCAGACATTTTGAAAAGAAAAACACTGATCAGAGGACCACAAAATGTCTTACAGTTGAAATCTCAAAATCGTTTTTCCTCAGCATTACATAACTTTCCCTGTACGATATTACTCCGTATATACATATGTATACCTCGGGCGGACCCAGCAGATCATTTTGGAGGGGACCATTATATTTTTGTTAAATAATAAACATATTATTATATTGTTTATTTTTTGTTGTGCATATATGATACTATATAATATTATTGTTAAATAATGACATAATTCTAACATAAATATTTACATCAATTTTGCTAAATAAAAGAAAGTAACAAACCTACGTCTTTTAGAGGGGGCTATGGCCCCCATGGCCTCACTCTGGATCCGCCACTGACATGTACGGGAAAGTAAAAATGACATTACCACTATGAACTTTTGAAATAACTAATATAATGCAAATGCTAAAACTATTATTACTCTTTTTAATAATATGCTTTGCACATTCACAAATATGTCATGGAGTATCTTTCTCTTAAACATTAAGCATGGAATAAAATGTCTAAAAATCATTTGAAAGATTAGAGCATTCAAAAATAAAAACAACAAACCTTGTGCCCCAATGTGATTAGAAAATCTGCTTGTAAGGGTCTAAAACACAAGTTTTCTGAATTAGATGGAAGCACGATAGAAGTGTGCAGCAGTGTTTTCTAAGTCCAATTAGCATGCTACACCTGTATATCTATTTTAATATATTTGTAACACATATTATACATAAATTTAGGTTTTTGCACTTCTCCTCCATTTGAACTTTTAACTATTTCAAATCTCATCCTCCTCCACTTGTGCATTATGCTTATAAAAAGTATTAAGTTTTCTCTTCATTTATTAATATATACTCTTAGATGGCACTTTTGATGAGTAGCATTTAAGGTTTCTCTAGCACCAAATGGAATGCGTGTATGTATAGTAATGAAATTAAAAATGTATCGTAGCCAACATAAAGGAGTCATCATTCTGCAACACAGTGTGACGGGGGTGTGAATATTCTGATGTAATCGAATGTACTTACTTAAAATAAATATATACTAATAATCTTATTTTTATACCTTCAATCAGTCTTATTATGGTTATTACTTTTGATTTGAGTCTCTCTTTTGAAGCTTCTTTTGGTCTGCCAATACTCAGTCCAAAATTCCCCTTCACATAACCATTTGGTTCCATTAGTCTTGTTAAATTTCAAAATGTTTTGTGCTTTATTTTTATTGATTTGCATACGTAGTTAAAACAAGTCAGTTCCTCCTCCGCTCTTCAAAATCTGTCATTCCAGAATACAAAGAGATGAACTTGTTCAAATATTTTATTGTTGTAAATCAGCACTCACCTCAATGGATTCTTGAAAAGCAACAGTAATGTTTTTTCCTCTGACATTTCTAGCTTTGTAGCTTCTTACAAGGAGAGGGCTCTTTGTAAATCTTTATCACCTCTTTTTAATTTGTTATGACTACATAGACGCAACGCATCTCCAAGCTATTTGGGGGCCGTTGAGCAGATTGCGTTTGGAGCAATCCTCCAATAATTTCGTGTACTTATTAGGAGTAATCCTCTATTACTATTGTCATGTCATTCTCATCAGTTTTCAAGAGGACCGACAAGTAGCATCTCCGCGTACGTGCCTCCTACCACACGTCATTACCCACAGCTCCAGCGTCCAGCGGACAGAAGGAATTAGGATAGGGTAGGGATTAGGACACATCACAGGGGTTGGACTAGCCCCTGTGAAGCAAGCAAACTAGTTTTGTTGTAACAAATTTCACATGAGGTTCTATGGGAATCTAACCCAGAACCTCAGTGGTGAAAGCAACTATGCCACTGAGCCACGAGAGCACTCTTTTAGACTGATCTTCGACTCTTCACTTGCAAATATTGAAGATTATACAAAATAACTCACTCTGAAGCAATAAGTAAGAATTGAAATTTTGAGCTATTGTTTTCATACATTGCATTCTTGTTGAATATTAATGTGTATCCCTTTTGAGATTTAATAGTTGAATGGAGTCAAGACGTGTTTGTGTTGTTTGTATTGCTGATAGCATTCATCTTCTAAAACTGGTTCGGTACTAAGGGTGCAGGACTAGTGAAATTGCCTTCAAGCATTATAAAAACAAAGTAAAATTGAGAACTTTGGAGATGATGATTGAACATAATAAAAAAATCTTTCCATTTTCAAAATTTACAATTACAATCACAACTATTCTGACCTGAATTTATTTGCAACTATTAGCCAAATTGATAATATATTCTCAGGATAAACATATGTGTGAACTCTAAGTGCCAGTTTGCAACCCATTTCAGAACATGTGACAATGCTCTCCATTACTGCATTCCTAAAAAAAAAAAAAAATTAATATAATACAAAATCTAAGAAATTTCAATAATTTTTGAATGGACAAAGTAGAAAATTTGGAAATATACCGAAGACAAACTCCTAAAACTTGCTTCTTATCTACCAATGACACCCTCATCGGCAGAGCTCTGAAAGAAAACCCGTCTGGAATATTTTTACTAATCAAGTCGTCTATTTCTTCTTTCCTAAGCACAAGCCCCATTCGATGTTCCATTTCATACAAAGCAAGTACAGGGGCAATGATGTGGCAAAGATCTATGTCCCAGCGAGTAGACACGCCAATGTTCTGAAATAAATCAAGTTTGAAAAAATTCCATCAATTCATGAATCAGAAGGACCTTTTCAAATTACATGTGATCATTAAACAGGAAACTGAATTAAATATTCAACAATAGAAAGAATGAAGCTCCTAGTGAAAATTACAACCAAAATCCTCATATTTATATATTAACATTACACATGGAGACACATTTTGATTTTAATGTGTTGATTTATATATTCCAATAATGAATCAGTTGTGTATTTACATAATTTTACATATAATGATTTTATTATTACTCTTCATATTGCTTTTTACCTGTCTGTACTCTGTTATTCTTGCTCGCAACTCTGTTTCCATTTCTTGACTATAAATAAATGGCTCAGTCCAACCAGGCATTAGAAATAAATTCAGATTCTGAACCACTGATGATATTGCTGCTTCTGATAAATTCTTCCACAACCTTTTATTGGCCACATTAAAAATGCATAATTTTACTTTATCACTTTCCTAAAACAAAGTCATTAGGAAATAAAAATGAATATTCATTCAAGAAAAATTTACCTCAAATAAATTACATTTTTGCTCAGCATACCTGTATGTTTGCATAAAAACTTTTGTGATTAAACAAACACCCTATTGTTTTATAAGGATACAAGTATTTGTAGGGGTCGGTCGGTAATTGTGGGTCATGTCCATACCGTGAACCTGAAATAATGACATTTTATCATTCACTCCTGCATCTCCAAGAACTCATATAACTTGCAGACTATGGTAAAGTAAACTTTTAAATTGTAAAGAAATATAAATAATTGTCACCAAAACTAAGTTGTATATGATATATGGTTTTGAGATACTTTTTTGTTCATTGATTTGAATGACAAAGGTAAAAAATTCCTCACCAAATCATTGATTTAATAATATGCAATTCATAATTTATCAAAAATGCTACTCAGTGTTGTAGTAAAGACTAGTGTAATTAAAAGGGACTTCTTACAGAATTTGTCAGCAATCACAAGCCTTGATATAGTGTTTTAGAGTGATTGAGACATTGCAGTCAACACCAGAACACAAAGCTGTGCAAAAACACCCTCATAGAGGTTTGTAAAAAGGGGAGAGTGGGATTGTAAGAAATAGGGACATTAAGAAACATTGTTTTTGTTTTGTTATGTTCTTATGTACGAGAGTAAAAATCTGCAAAAAGCAAAACAAAACACAAATCACATAAAACATAGTTCACAAACTCAAAAAATGAATCTGATACTGATATGTGAAGAAAAAACAACAAAAACAAAGAAAATCATACACAATGGGATAAAAACGAACTGCCCTCTGAATGATCCTTCCTGAAAGTCTTGTTATATGTTGACTGATAACAAGGCAGAACTGGAGAGCTTGTTTCTAATTATTCTCATAGGGCATTAGAGTATCATTGCTGGTGTAGTTAAAATCGAAAGTTGTCTCAAAATTTGATTGAAATCAAGTAAACTATTTATTGTACTTGAAAATATCCATATAGATTAAGGTTCACAATTAAATAAAGTATTAATACTAAAAATAACTGCTCCACAAAAATTATTTATATTTTATTACCGTACTCTATCCTAAATTTAGAAGTCATAGAATACTCACCAGTAGTACTTTCCCAGAAGGGAGCATAATTATCTTTGCTAATCGTCACAACCCACTCCCAAGGAATATTACCATCCTTCGTACCAATGCAAACATAAGCATCAAGACCAAACCCCAAAAATAAACTGCATAGCAGAGTGGCATGGTTTGCAGGCCCCTAAGCACACACAAAATTTCTTTATATTCACAGCAAGCACTAAAAGCAAGAACTAAAAGTATGAAATATTAAAGAAATGTAAGAACACACAATACAAATGTTATTGAATTACAAAATACCCAGTACTTATCACTTCATGCAATCAAAAAATTCTTTATCATTTTTCAATAATTAAGTTAAATTTAAATACAAATAGTCACATACATACTCCTTTTTTAATGCAGAGAAACGTATGTGGAATGTACCATTGTTCAACCACAGGCAAAGCTCCCATCAGAGAAGGTGGCTGAAGGTGGATTAAGGATACAAACCATGCAGCCTCCTGAGGTAGTTCTAAAAGAGGTCTACCCACTTTCAGACACTGAACAAAATGGAAGACTGGTCTAGAGAAAACCAATAAAAATTGGAATATATTTCTAGTAGTTTGTGTCAATACTAATACTATTAAATAATGTCTTCATTAATATTAAACATAGATATTTACTATTGTTCCATTTATATTTAAACCCTACCTGTTTTGCCCATTTTCATCTTGATGAAAAAGTTTAACAGTTCTTCGAGAATGTTCAGGTCGAAGAGAAAGATATTCTTTCCACCATGTTTTTGCATACAGTAAAAAAATTCTGTCTTGTTCTTCTTGATTTCTATTTTGAAATCTAATTCTAGACAATACTGTTTTTTCTGTGAGTGGTTGTAGTAGCTTTGGAATAAGAGTGATACGAACATCAATCACCCCTACAACGATATTGCTTTCTGCTCCTAAAACAGAATACATCACATTTTTAAATGATTTACCTTAATTTATATTGTATATAGTCAAATCTTGTATCATAAAATCTTCACAATTCCAACTTGACACAAGAAACTTTGATGATGTAAATAACTTTGATAATACACAATTAGGTGAATTTGAGATCCATCACCCACACATCCTATGAAAATATTTTCACACATATCTATGTAAAAAGTTAAAAATGTCTACTCTTCTAAAAAGGATTTAGAAAACTGAAGGCAGATGTTTTTTCATTGACAATACATGATTATATTGATTTTGGGAGTGTCTTTTACATACTCCTCAAAGAGGTGTTAGCTCAAAATTTTGAGAATTCTTATACAGTTCTAATATTAATAACTTAGTTAATAGCGGATGGCAAAATATGTTTACATAGTCTTCGAGGTCAATTCTCACAAAAACTCCTACACACAGTAGAAAAAATAAATTTGTCATAAATCTTGATAACAAGTATACGAATTTCTACTAAACTTACTAGTCATTAAATCTACGAAAACTCACCTACGCCCAATAGATCAATAGAGAATGTTCCGAGTGATTCCTGGGCAAACAAAATTTGACGCCATTCGAAATGATGAGAAGAGACCAAAACTTTTTCCCCACTTGGCAATATTCTTACCAACACAATGTGAATTTTTTCATTTATATTTAAGAGATGTGATGCACGAGCCATTTGAGTTTCATCTAAGTCATCATCATGCAGTTCATATAAAAATCCTGCATCAAAATTTGGATGAGATTTACAAGTAACAGGCTGGGTCCAAAATCGTTGCCCTCGAAAATTTAAAAATAATACAAACATTGAGAAAGATTCCTCCAACAAGTGATCAAGAAAGGCTCTCCCTTGTAGTATTTCAAAATGTAAATGTCGCCTTCGAGGGTTTATATTCACATGAACACCATCTTTTTTATGATCACGTATGTTTGCTTCAGTAATCTCATCTTCAGTAGAACGAGAATGATTCTGAGTTTCAATAATTTGGGATAATGTTTCTTCAGATTTCCTTTTCTGTTGAACATTGTCTGATCCTTTATTTTTTATTCTTGAAGATTTTGTAGTTTCTTTTTCTGAAATGTTATAATGTAAAGAATGTTTTGTGTCCACCACATCAGGAGGCTTTAATACTATTTCTATTTCATCTTTTTTTTTATTTCCTTTCTCACATTTCTTTTTCTTTTTTGATGCTGAAGAAGCAGAATTTGAAGACTTTTCTCCTTTACTATCATTTGTGTTTGCACTACACAATGATTCTGATTTTTTTAAAGAAACATATATATCATTTTGTGAGCTGTAAGGTTCGAGACCTTCTTGGGGCAGGGCAGAATTTTCTTTGCATTTCTTTTCAAAATTTGTAGTTGCGGCTACTGGTTTTTTATCATAAATTTCACTTTTGCAATCCTTTATACACTCTGATTTTTCATTAGGGCTCTCATTGCTGGTCAAATGATCAATAATTTTATCAAATACTCCCTGGCTCCTTAAGTTTTTCAGAACTCTGTTCTCAATATTGATTCTCTTTTTGTGGGTCTTGTTTCTTTCAAGTAGGGTCTCAATTTGTTGCCGAATACTTCTTCTGATTGAGGTCTTTTGAAACAGAAATATATTATTTAAAAATCTTTCAAACACAGTAAGAAATAAATAAATTTTAACATCACAAATAACCAAACTAAATCATGTAAATGTGCCGAATTACACCTACTGCTTATTTAAAATGTGCAAAGTAATTTTCACGAAAAAAGTACCTCATTCATAAGTTGTTCCAGATGAATTCGTACGTCCTCCACATCTACAGTAAAGGACATATTTTTGGCGGATTATCATTTCAATATAAAAATATATGGTTTACGAGGAAAGTCACAGATTAAATGTTCGTTTAATACAAGTCTGCTTGCGCGCATTATTGTTTTTATATTATCAATACCCATCATAACATTCACATAACCTCTGATGACCACCACAAGAATGTAAACAAACAATCCATTCGTCCTCCCGCTTCCGTCATTCCTGATATTGAAAGAGTGAATAAACACCCTCGAAACTACATGCACTACATAAGGGTGAAAAGTGACACCTGGTAACACCTGAGCGGCACCAGGTGTCACTCGATGAGAAAACGTCCGTATTTCAGAGTAGTGGTGGGGGAGACGGAGAGAATTGAAGATAGGTCCGCCATTTTCGCCCACCCTGGTAAGCAGCGCTGTACGGGATCTTTTGCGAACTAATTTTAAAAACATTGAAAGTGTGAGCGAATTGACGAATTTCCCCCAAAGTTTGATTTTCTTCGTTATAAATACAGCAAACTACAGTTATATAAGTTTCTCACAGTGGTCGCTTTTGATGCACTTTTGCCCAAAAGTTAATTTGATAATTTGGTAATTTGGAAGAAAAATGTCGAAATATTGGCGTTGTCGGATTCCAAATTTCCACCAGAGCCAAAGGAGAAATGCGGAAAAGACAAGGCTGTTCTTCTCCCAAATGATCCTGAACGGTAAGTGAAATTAAATATTTTGCAAGATTCGTATCAAATGGTTTCAAATTATTAGTATAATGAATATTTTCTATTTATTTATTTACAAATAGCACTTGTCTAATTTAAATAACATCAAATTTTGCTAACGTAGCCTAACTGCATAATTTTAACAATTATTAACAAACAATTTATAACAATGACTCTTTAACAAATAACAAAATCAGTATAATAAAAATAACAATTTTTGGCTGAAGTCTAGTATACGGTACAACTTACGGACGTCGTTTAAACCGGCAGTTCCCGCCTCTCCGGCGAGGGAGGAATCCATGGTGGAAGGGATGAAGGGTGCTATGAGGGGAACCTTCCGGGGGGAGGAGTGGTGAGAAATATTAGGAACTTAGTACATGCATATAAAAAGTAGAGCGTGGGCGATTTAAATAAAGTATAAAAAAGTAAACTTTTGAAATAATTTTAATTGGTTACGAACGTGACATCAAAAGTTGAGGGGAGGGCAATTTCATCCTAATATCTTGTCAAAACTTCATTACGACATGGTGTGTGGTGGCACGTAAATCGTGTTTTTGTCTAGGTGATTTTTTGTGTCGGGTAGCTGTCGAAGTGGTTAGCTACGTTGATGTCGTACAGTTGAGTTTATTGCGTTCTTCAGATTCTTTGCGGTTTTGAGTTTTGAATGTCGAGTGCCTGTGCTAGGATGGTGAGAATGTGTCTTTTTTACGCTTTGCACCGAAGGGGATGTTTGGCTGTCATTGAATGGGAACAAGGACGAGGTTTGATAGCCGCAGGATTTAAGTGTGTTGTGTGTGTCATATGAGCTTGGGCCGAACGAAAGAAGTTGTGTGATGGTTTCGAGTGGAAGTGTAGCAAGAAAGGAACCACTCATGTGCGTAAGTGTTCCATGTGGAAGGTGTCATGGTTTGCGGAAAGTAAGTTGTGTATGATTCAGGTATTAGTAATGACCTATCTTTGGGTTATAACAGTCAGTCAAACCACCATAAAAATCGACTATCGGTAAGTTTCATTCATTTCTGCCAGAGCGCTTAGCGTAATTTGTGGGAGGACTTAAAAAGGCCCTTCCTCCGCCTTCCCCCCACCCCTTCTGTCTCCACACCCACCGCTTCTCTAATAGGGTACCGTGTACCCTACTTTAACCCAATTTTTTTTACAGTTCAACTGGTCATGAAATAACTTTCCTCAATTTATATAAGATATTGCCTTTGTTCGTAATGTATTGGATAAGTTATTTAACACACACAAAGTTATCTGTAATAACTGCAAGATATTTGTATGCCCTAACCTATTTCAAAATTTCACTATTAAGCACAATTGATTGTCTTGATTCTACGTATTCCCTAAATTAACTTGCCTCTTAACCATACACTTTGTTTTAAAATATTAACACTCAAAAATGCTCGCTCAATCATTCACTAACCAAAGTTAGTTCTTTATTTATGTAATATTATTTCCCTAATTTTTATATTGTGTTATTATTTTTGTTTCCAATAACATTAAATTGAATATTTGTTTTACTTAGCAATTTATATATTACAAATTTTATTATAGGTTTATGAAATGGCTCTTGGCAATTACGACCAAAACCTAGCTTCTTGTTTAAGGAGGACATAAACAGGGGTTGTGTGTGTGCATGACCTGGTGAGTAGAGAAACCTTGTTTTATGAAGATAAGGCAGCACTACTATCTTAAATTAATCTACCTTTTGCTAGATTTCACTTCCATCTTGTAACATGCTTCAATATACAATATTACTTTTGAAAAGAAAGGGGAAATAAGGTTTAAAGGTAATTTTTTTCCTGTACCTTTTCTCAATAATTTTGTCGGATAACAATTTAATCGTCTGTGGAGCTGTTCATTTTTAATACAGAGATTTGTAAGGTTTCACTTTTCATATGCACATGATATAATGTAGTATGATAAGTGGTTTAATTTGGTTACATGAGTTTCACGTTGGCCAGTGTATATCCCCTTATTCCAAATAACAGGATTTGTTTCAGTATATTCATACTAGATTGGTATATATACATTTCAGTAAAGAATTTAAAAAAATAATTTCAGAGCTGTAACAGGCTTATTCATGATTCATACCTGATTTAATTTGTGCATTATTAACTTATTGTATATCAGTTATCAGTAATTTTTGTAAAATTATTTAATGTCAGTAATTTTATACAAATTTATATAGTGTTGCTTAGTATGTGATATGTTTTGATAATGAGACAATATTTAAAAAGAAATGGTTATAGTTAAATACTAAATAGAATTACATTCTATTTAGTATATAACAATATCCGCCATATTGAACATTTGCTACTTAATGTAATTTCAAATGTCCTGGTTCACGTCCGTCCATTTCAATCGGTAGTCTTTCGACGCTTATTGGCTGGCGGTGAGCGAAAATGTCTGCTTCTTTTTGATTCGTTGCTTTCGTCGGAGTGGGGATTCGAATTTCTTCCCTTCACGAAAATAAGGGCTTTCCACTTAACATTGAGTGGCATCTCTGATATATTCTCTCTGAAGCGGCACTAATAGGAATTTATGATTTATAACCATAGGTGGAGGATTTTTAAGCCCTAAAAATCTTTAATAATAATATTTATTAATTGATTTTTTCTGTTTGTTTGCTTGTTCGTTTATTTACGTCAAAAACAGTTAAAAACTGAGACGTGCTATGGGGAGAAAATTTGAAGTTACATTTATGTCCAGAAGCTAAACAAGGAGCCATCTCAACATTTGCTCAAGGATCAGGGAAACTGGAAGAAATTCTGATCGAAAGGGAGGTCATTGTTCCCAGAAGCTGAAGTACAATACTTGTTCCAGGTACTTTAGAATTACACAATCCAACTGTAATATAATTCATTAAATGTCATTGTTAAAAATAATATTACAGTCTTTTTGAATACTAGGTATAGTTTCTAATTATATATACACAATTGTGCAGCAGGAAAGATTTTATTTGGGACTTAACTTATGTATCGAATTTTAGTGTCATCTATCAAGGTGTAAAATAATGTACATGTATTTTTTGTAGTGAGCTGCTGATACTGTCACCTGATAAATATGATTACTACGTTGTGTGTTGTAAATATAAACAAAGGACGTTTGCTGAAAATATATTTCCGCCCTTAAGTCATTTTTGACAAAAAACATATTCATATATGAAGAGATGAGGTAATGGTGAAATACCTATATTCCTATATTAATAAAGAGAGGCTTACAAGAATCACGTGCGTGGGATTGGCTTTATATATATATGTATATATATATAATAATATAATATATAATATATATATATATATATAAATAAATAATATATATATATATTGCCGGACTGTATGGTTTCCAGTAAGGGTTCATGTGGAGGCCATGCTGGTTGAAGTGGTTTGCTGCTGAGATCAAATTAATTAAAAAAGTGTGACATTTGTTGTTTCGTCAGTTTGCAGTTTAATTGTTGGTTGCGTGTTTAATCTTGCTGCATAGCGTTAGTCTGTTGTACCAGGAGGGCAGAGTCAAGACTACAATGTTAGTATTTCTGAGCGACACGTAATTCTGTTTAATGTTGTTCAGGTTGTAAAGTTACCGTCCAAATTAATGTATTATGTCCTCCTATGATAATGACTGTGCCCTGATTGGTCAGTGTCTTCGTGTGAGTGTCCACCTCTGCAGTCACGTCTGCAAGCCTCCCGTTATGTTTAAAAATAGGTGAGACTGAGTAGTGGAGGGTAAACTTTCTACTGAGAATGCGAGCAAAGATGGCGGCATGGCTGTCAGCTAAAATTAGTACATGTTTTTAGGCTCAGTAGGAATGTCTTTGTTTTCATGTGGGCCTGGATGCGCAGCTTGACGTGTTTTGGTTTGACGCGCTTCCTAGCCTGTTTGCGTTGTTTGTGCATGTATTTGTCGATGTAGAGAAGGGTTGTAGGATCAGGAAGGTGAGGAAAATCTGTTTCACAATCTAAACAATTTTTTTGAGTTGCGATCTGGATGTGGTGTCTGTGTCTTTGGGTAGCCTCGGGTGCACGGTTGGGAATATCTCGCTGTGTTGCCGACTTGAACCCAACCGTCTGTGTAGACCTCTTCCAACCTTCGGATATGTAGATCTAAATTATTGTTTATGTGTAAAGGCTTTCGGAAGGTCGGCTTTTCAGAGTTAACAGAGAGTAAAAAAAGTAGAATGATTAGTTGCCATGCACGAATTGCGATTTTAATGTACGTGACAAAATGGATAACAATCAAAGAAACTCACATAAGAGCAACTAGCACGGTAGCTTAATATGTTGAAGTGTAAGATAGATATGTATTCAATAACTTAGAAAGTTATCATACAATTACTAGTATGGAGATGGTGCGATGTTTACAAAATTGATTGAAAGCTAGTACTTTACGAAATTGGCATGTGGTTATGTAGATTACTGTCCACTTAAGCTGCTACTATTTAATACAAACCAGTAGACCTTATACTTTACCGTAGATAGATAAAATATTAACTGAAAATTTGTCTTGAAATTATAGAACAAATTAATTTGGAACAATAATTCAAAACTGATTGATACACCGTCCTCGTAAAGTTCAAATCAAACGGAATCGTCCACTTGTCACAGAGATATAATAAAAATCTTCAGTGATACATTAGCTGAGTGATATAATCTCGAAAATAAATTGCCGATTAAAGATTTTTGAC